GCAACACGCGAAAAAATCGCGTGAGAGTAAATTTCTGTGACAATTTTATCGATATAAAAAGTGTTACAACTTTCGTTTCGAATTACAGAATGAGGAAATGTGCCTATTTATATAAATACAGTATAAAAGTATACGATCGATTGATTCGCAATGAACATTCAACTCACACTGAACTATATGGGAAGTAAACAGAAGTCAAGAAATCCGTATCAGTCATTACGTAATTAAATTGTAACTTAATTTGCCTACTCAATGATATCTTTATCGATTACGCCATTCTTTCACCATTCAATAACGGACACCTATTTCCTGTTATCCGCATCTTAAAATTGAGTTTCCAATATCCAATCCCTCCCTGTTATACTGATGATGTGGTAGAGTCCTGTTGTCATAACAACCGACCAGTACGGCACCGACTTACCAACACAGTTATAAAACAGTATAACAGACGACAATTGTCACCTTTGAACTCTAGTTGATGGTAAATAACACAAAAAAAGCCGCATGCAGCAGAATTAATCATTTAAATACAACAGAAAATAATTAAAAATTATAATAATAATTGTTGTTATAATTACAATAAAAACGGAAATGCCCTCAATTTTTGGGAAATTTAAACTTTTTAAAAACTGCCATAAACTCTTAACAAGCGACTCGAACGAGTATAATACGGAAGTCCGCATTTTAAACCAGATTTTAGGCAGTCACGTGACTTGTTTTTAAATTTTTAAGTTCCCCGTTCATTCGGGCAATGTTACCAACATGTCAATAACAATTGCTCCGTAATAGTTATTTTATAAGCTCTTAAATCCGATAAAAAGTCCTTCAAACTGATGTGTGAAAAATGAAGGTTAAATTAAGTATAAAACATATTTTTTGTAATTTTATTGGAAACATCAAAATGAACAGAAAATTAATTTATTAAATAAATGACGAATAACGCTTAATACTTTGTACGAATTTTCTAAAAATCGACAATTCTGTTCCCACTTTTTCCCCCTCCAAGTCCATCATCGACGAAACCCTAAATTTAGGGGAATCCTTGAATTAGAAACACGATTTTGGATGATTCGAGTACGTGGTACTGTACATTACTGCACCAAAGAACATGGGTTCGGATCTCATCAAGAGCATTAGCTTCTTTCCGTGAATTGAAGGATCTACATAATTCTTATTTGTTTTTTAATTCTTAAACTTTTTCAAAATTGTGAACTAATTTTTTTTAAATTTTTAATGATTAAATTAGTCAGCAATGCAGTAACAATACTCCAGAAAATCAAGACATACATCAACACTAGAACGTGCATAAACTATAATCAAATTCAAGCTGAGAAGCGACCTACTTAATGCTAAACTATCAATTTTTTGAAACAGAGTGGCCCTCTTATCAAAATCGGATCGTATCGAATATAACATATAGATTCTGGTATCGCTTCTAGAATACGACAACCAATAATTTACTAAAAGTGAATTTAATTGCTGACCAACGAATAACAATCCAAACCAAAATTAATCAATAAGTTCAATTAACGTGTCTCGTTAAAACTCGTTCGAAAATTCGATTAATTATAATAAAGAATTTAATACGACCTTTCAACAAAACAAGGAAGATGAATTAAATGTTTTTTTATATCCATTTTACAACGAACTTTAAGCGGTTGCATTCTAAAAAAACGGGTTTTAAATAGGGCTTGACAATATGCCCATTCTAGTTGCATCTGCCAGATTTCTAACAAAAATGTCCATTCCATTTGCATCTGCCAGTTGCCATTGTCAGTTGCACACCAAAAGAAAAAAAAAGTTAGAATGAATTGTATCACCATATGTTCCATTAAATTACACGTTACATATTCGTGTCTGTCGTGTGATAAAATATGCTTCCGGGGAACAATTAGTACTATAAACAATATACCAATTCAAACGAAGCTATATAAATAACAATCTTCAAAATTTTGCGTGTATAAATAAGCAATACCTTAAAAATCTTTTGTTAGAAAGTACGGCTTTTCAGGAAATGTCCACTTACTTTGACACTTCTTAGCTTTGCAACACAGTACACTGAACTTTGCAAAAGCATACAGAACCTTTTAGACGAACCAGACGAAACAAAAGAGATCGTTTATCCTAAGAGAAACATGTCTAACAACAATTTTTAAGCATAATCATAATTCAGGAACACTTATTTTTCTAAGCAATATTAAAGAAAAAATATTGTAAACTTAATTAGAATCTGGAGTGCGTATAGGCTGTAATAATTTACTTAACAATTGTCAAGGTGCTTTCTTTCTACAATTTTGTAAACAACATAAACACTAAGAGAAAAGGTTGAAGTGACTTCAGGAATTAAGGAAAAAATCATCATCTGATTATTTTATTATTTGAATATATAAATAAAAATATTTGAGGAAAAAAACAGTTATTTAACTGTATAAAAATGAGAATGAAAAAGCAAAAATAAGCAGAAAAATGAAACTAAAAACTCGTCATCCAACAATGCATTTCCGAAGAGAAGGACGAATTTTCGAAACAAATGAGGAAACAAAGGGGGGTCTTCAGAATTACGTATGATTGCTAGTGTGTGACGATGTAGCTAATTTTTCAGTGGGAAGCGACCGATGCATTTATCTTTTATCTACCGTATAAAATAAATAAAAAAAAGTAAAATAAAAAATTCCACATTTCCTCATACAAACTCAACATTCCAACAAATTTACTTAAATTGTCTTCATTTTATAATAATTGGGAACCAGAATAAATCGGAACAACCGTCGTTGCTCGTTCCATTTTAACACGAAGAACAATGAATCAATTAAGGATATAAAAAAAAGGGAAGGCGATAAAAAGCTCCTTACCGAGTCACGTGAACAGGTCAATAGTTCGGTGGTGACGTCACAGGATATAGAAAATGTTAACCTAAAAGATATCTTGTCATTGACACGCTAACTGAGCTTCTGTACTTGATCGGTTTGTCAACAATTTCTGTGGATCATAACTTTCCTTTTTTTATTTCCCACATTCTTGTTATTTTCTTCATCAAATGCTATATCTGGAATTATTCTTTTTGTAACAGTTTTGACTTCTGATCAGCTTCTTATTTTGTAAATGATTCATTCTTGTATATCTTAAACCGTTGGCTATTCAATAGCAGTTACAACGTTACATATAAGTATCACATATCAATTTTTCCCTTCTTAATAATAAGCTCATTTTATCTGAGTTTCTTAAATGATGATGATACTCATTCTCTGTAAGGGAAGAAATGATAGTATGTAAGAAGTTTGCCAGAAGCAAAATGAGGGGATTGCTGTAACTGCATGATACTTGGACTATTAAATCGTTTACTAGTATATGTGGCTTACTATAAAAGAAAAAAAAAAGGCAATTTGTAATACGGAAATGTCAGATTCTTACTCACTTAACCAGAATTTAAACAATAGTTTTATGAAGTGTTTTGCATGGAATTCTTATATTAAAAAAATCCTATAATTTTATTTTATATTAAAGAATAACTTTTATAACCATAAAATAATTAAAAAATATATAGAAATGTCTAAAGAAGGGTGCTTTATTTAGATATATATCCAAGAACTGGTTATGAGGTAACTGAGGTATTTTAAACTGCAGACAACTCTGGAATGAAGCCCAAATAACTTTGTCTAGTTTTCCTTTCAGATTTGTTTCAGGATAAGTTGTTTATGAAAAAATAATATAGATTTTAAAAGATAATATCATTTAAAATTAAGTTAAATTGCTCTTACAAGAGTTAAAGCATTTATTACATCATCGGAATAACCAATGTTGAATCACAAGTGGCTAAACCCACAAACTGTCCACTATTTGTACACATTGAGGAAGTAAGCAACAATGTAAAAAACACCAGTATCAATCAATACAATATAATATATATCTAAAAGATAACTAAAGTTTTTCTCCTGCTGTTTAACTGTTATTAGTCTATAGATAGGAAACCACACCCTTCCTAGGACCATCAATCAGGAAAATGTCGTCACTTAAATCAAAACTTAGATTCCATCTCAATACAGATAACAGAAATTTTTCTTAGATAAGATTTATATTTATTTTATAACTTAATTAACAATTCTTTATATAAAAAATACATAACTGAAGGCAATCGCTGTCACAATAAGAACTTTCAATCATTACAAAATTATAAAAAGAAGACTTTTATAATTAATTTTTACTNAAGAAGAAAAAGAAAATGCTGTATCTACATATTGAAAACATATGAGAAATGAAATATTAAACCTTGTTTTTTTACCAAAGTTTACTAATTAGAAATTTGAAACATAACAAGAAAACTATTTACTTAATGTCATTGATAAATTTTCTGCATCATCATCATGCTTAAGAAGAGAGATTATCTCTTAATCACAAGTTAATTCCAAAATAAGCCAATTTATAGTCAAATGCTAAGTATCAAATTGCCACTGCTCAGATAAAGTCCCTTTTTGTTATAGAATGACGTGTACATTGCTCGATACCTGAATTTTTTTTTTATATTGTAAGTGCTTAAAATTGCTGTCTTTGATATACTAAATAAATTTAAATAATTCTACTGAAAGACTAAGTAATTTAATATCCTAAATATTTTAAAATTAAGAATGGCAAATTATTTTTGAGAATCAAATTACAATTGAATATAATGCTAATACTTTTATTAAGTTTCTTATTGATACGCATCCAAATAGTTTTATGTGGGCTGATAAAATTACAGGATTATATAAGAAGTTTGGACTGTTGGTAAGGTTGATTTAGTTGGCTACTGTTAATTAATTTTTTAAAGAATGTTAATCAGTAGCCGTTAATGATTTTTAAAATATATTAATTAATAAAATTCACTTACGTGTTAATAAAATGAAATTTATAATGCTAAAATTTTATAATTTTTCTTTTCAGATTCAAAGTTAATTTGCTATAAAACAATTTAATTTATAATGCTGCAATAACTGCAATATATTTGAACTAAATAAAATAATTACCGTATAGAGTATAGACAACTCCAAATACCAAATACATGCCACAGATGATAGCGGTAGTAACATCATAATTGTAGTCGAAATATTGGCAGCGAGGATCGTCATCCATTGAAGATGTTGTGTTAGTTTGTGAGTCTCCATGATTACCAGAAAGTTCAGACATGTTCAGCTTAAATATTAAAATGTAACTTTAAAATAAAAACTTTTAATATAATACAAATATAACTCAAAATCTTAATTTAAGATCAATAATATTGCAATTTTAAAAATTATAAAAACTAAAATATTCAAAATTAATGAATATATAATGTTGCTCATTTATAATAATTAAAATTTCTGCTTTTGAAAACAAAATTATATTTATATATAATTTTTTTAATATATTCATCATGTTTGTCTGTATTATTTGAGGAGAGCATACTATAGCAAAGTAATTTGTGGCACTGCACTTAGCTAAATTAAAAAAAAAAAAAGCTATTTACCACTAAGTATTCAAAATATTTAATTTTGAGGATTAAAAAAAAATAGTCAAAAAATGTTTGCTATGTAAATTTTGTTCACAAAAGCAGAATTGTTAATAAATGTTATTTATTTTAAAACTTGGATACATAATTAAAATTAATCATTATTATTATATTTAAAATATAACATTATTTACTAATTAAGGAAAAATGAATAATATGGAAAATTTAATAACATTTAAAAATTAAGATAGGTATAGTACAGTACAAATGTAAAATTTCATTTTACATTTTGTGAAAATGAAAGAAATTGCTTTAATTTATCATATATTTAATTTATAATTTTTATTTTATTTATATATTTTAAAACTATTTATTTTTATTTTAAAGACTTCTCTTTGCTTAAAGAATCATAAATTTTTCTCTTTAGCAAGAGAAGTCTTTAAAATAAAAATAAATAGTTTTAAAATATATAAATAAAATAAAAATTATAAATTAAATATATGATAAATTAAAGCAATTTCTTTCATTTTCACAAAATGTAAAATGAAATTTTACATTTGTACTGTACTATACCTATCTTAATTTTTAAATGTTATTAAATTTTCCATATTATTCATTTTTCCTTAATTAGTAAATAATGTTATATTTTAAATATAATAATAATGATTAATTTTAATTATGTATCCAAGTTTTAAAATAAATAACATTTATTAACAATTCTGCTTTTGTGAACAAAATTTACATAGCAAACATTTTTTGACTATTTTTTTTTAATCCTCAAAATTAAATATTTTGAATACTTAGTGGTAAATAGCTTTTTTTTTTTTTAATTNCAAGCTGAGAAGCGACCTACTTAATGCTAAACTATCAATTTTTTGAAACAGAGTGGCCCTCTTATCAAAATCGGATCGTATCGAATATAACATATAGATTCTGGTATCGCTTCTAGAATACGACAACCAATAATTTACTAAAAGTGAATTTAATTGCTGACCAACGAATAACAATCCAAACCAAAATTAATCAATAAGTTCAATTAACGTGTCTCGTTAAAACTCGTTCGAAAATTCGATTAATTATAATAAAGAATTTAATACGACCTTTCAACAAAACAAGGAAGATGAATTAAATGTTTTTTTATATCCATTTTACAACGAACTTTAAGCGGTTGCATTCTAAAAAAACGGGTTTTAAATAGGGCTTGACAATATGCCCATTCTAGTTGCATCTGCCAGATTTCTAACAAAAATGTCCATTCCATTTGCATCTGCCAGTTGCCATTGTCAGTTGCACACCAAAAGAAAAAAAAAGTTAGAATGAATTGTATCACCATATGTTCCATTAAATTACACGTTACATATTCGTGTCTGTCGTGTGATAAAATATGCTTCCGGGGAACAATTAGTACTATAAACAATATACCAATTCAAACGAAGCTATATAAATAACAATCTTCAAAATTTTGCGTGTATAAATAAGCAATACCTTAAAAATCTTTTGTTAGAAAGTACGGCTTTTCAGGAAATGTCCACTTACTTTGACACTTCTTAGCTTTGCAACACAGTACACTGAACTTTGCAAAAGCATACAGAACCTTTTAGACGAACCAGACGAAACAAAAGAGATCGTTTATCCTAAGAGAAACATGTCTAACAACAATTTTTAAGCATAATCATAATTCAGGAACACTTATTTTTCTAAGCAATATTAAAGAAAAAATATTGTAAACTTAATTAGAATCTGGAGTGCGTATAGGCTGTAATAATTTACTTAACAATTGTCAAGGTGCTTTCTTTCTACAATTTTGTAAACAACATAAACACTAAGAGAAAAGGTTGAAGTGACTTCAGGAATTAAGGAAAAAATCATCATCTGATTATTTTATTATTTGAATATATAAATAAAAATATTTGAGGAAAAAAACAGTTATTTAACTGTATAAAAATGAGAATGAAAAAGCAAAAATAAGCAGAAAAATGAAACTAAAAACTCGTCATCCAACAATGCATTTCCGAAGAGAAGGACGAATTTTCGAAACAAATGAGGAAACAAAGGGGGGTCTTCAGAATTACGTATGATTGCTAGTGTGTGACGATGTAGCTAATTTTTCAGTGGGAAGCGACCGATGCATTTATCTTTTATCTACCGTATAAAATAAATAAAAAAAAGTAAAATAAAAAATTCCACATTTCCTCATACAAACTCAACATTCCAACAAATTTACTTAAATTGTCTTCATTTTATAATAATTGGGAACCAGAATAAATCGGAACAACCGTCGTTGCTCGTTCCATTTTAACACGAAGAACAATGAATCAATTAAGGATATAAAAAAAAGGGAAGGCGATAAAAAGCTCCTTACCGAGTCACGTGAACAGGTCAATAGTTCGGTGGTGACGTCACAGGATATAGAAAATGTTAACCTAAAAGATATCTTGTCATTGACACGCTAACTGAGCTTCTGTACTTGATCGGTTTGTCAACAATTTCTGTGGATCATAACTTTCCTTTTTTTATTTCCCACATTCTTGTTATTTTCTTCATCAAATGCTATATCTGGAATTATTCTTTTTGTAACAGTTTTGACTTCTGATCAGCTTCTTATTTTGTAAATGATTCATTCTTGTATATCTTAAACCGTTGGCTATTCAATAGCAGTTACAACGTTACATATAAGTATCACATATCAATTTTTCCCTTCTTAATAATAAGCTCATTTTATCTGAGTTTCTTAAATGATGATGATACTCATTCTCTGTAAGGGAAGAAATGATAGTATGTAAGAAGTTTGCCAGAAGCAAAATGAGGGGATTGCTGTAACTGCATGATACTTGGACTATTAAATCGTTTACTAGTATATGTGGCTTACTATAAAAGAAAAAAAAAAGGCAATTTGTAATACGGAAATGTCAGATTCTTACTCACTTAACCAGAATTTAAACAATAGTTTTATGAAGTGTTTTGCATGGAATTCTTATATTAAAAAAATCCTATAATTTTATTTTATATTAAAGAATAACTTTTATAACCATAAAATAATTAAAAAATATATAGAAATGTCTAAAGAAGGGTGCTTTATTTAGATATATATCCAAGAACTGGTTATGAGGTAACTGAGGTATTTTAAACTGCAGACAACTCTGGAATGAAGCCCAAATAACTTTGTCTAGTTTTCCTTTCAGATTTGTTTCAGGATAAGTTGTTTATGAAAAAATAATATAGATTTTAAAAGATAATATCATTTAAAATTAAGTTAAATTGCTCTTACAAGAGTTAAAGCATTTATTACATCATCGGAATAACCAATGTTGAATCACAAGTGGCTAAACCCACAAACTGTCCACTATTTGTACACATTGAGGAAGTAAGCAACAATGTAAAAAACACCAGTATCAATCAATACAATATAATATATATCTAAAAGATAACTAAAGTTTTTCTCCTGCTGTTTAACTGTTATTAGTCTATAGATAGGAAACCACACCCTTCCTAGGACCATCAATCAGGAAAATGTCGTCACTTAAATCAAAACTTAGATTCCATCTCAATACAGATAACAGAAATTTTTCTTAGATAAGATTTATATTTATTTTATAACTTAATTAACAATTCTTTATATAAAAAATACATAACTGAAGGCAATCGCTGTCACAATAAGAACTTTCAATCATTACAAAATTATAAAAAGAAGACTTTTATAATTAATTTTTACTTATAAAATATGCTGTATTCCTTCATTACAAGCCATTTTTAAATTACTCAGCTCATTTAATAATTTTTGTTTGACAAAACTCTTTATTTAAAATATAAATAAAGTGTTAGTTGACCTTGTATCTAAAATAACTTCCTCACTACAATTCTACCTTTAGTTATCTACAGCATATCTTATGATTTATCCAATAACAATAATTTAATAAATGAATTTATATATATAATAAAATATTTTATTTATATCAACTTAATAAAGTATTAAAAATTTATTACATAATAAACATTTTATACATAAAAGAATGTTATATTACTAAAAATTAGTGAACCATAAATACTTTTTTTTTACTCATCATAAAGAATTCATTTCTAAAATGTCAAAAAAGTTATTTTATTACAAATTTTTGCTTTTTTTTAAATTAATAAATTACAAAATATAATATTAAAAAATATAGTCAAACCCCATCAAAGAACAAACACAAAAAAACAGCAGACATTTCTATGAAATTTTATAATGTTGACAATTTGTTAATGTTTCCTTATAGAAATAATTAGACTGCTTAAGAATGGAATTTTAATTTTTTCAAAAGCATCAGTGCATAATTTTGACTTTGTTATAATTACACACAATTATAATCGTATATTTGAAGGCATTTTAAAAATATTTCCTGTTTTAAACCAACATTAATCAAAATTATGGTAAAGGAAATAAACATTTTGTAAATACTTCAAAAGCATGTGTCTATAACATAAATCTAATTATTGTTTAGGTACAATATTATAATAGGGAAGATTGCTCCAGATTTACAACCTTATAAAAAAAATTAGGTCAAGTTTAAAGTTATCAATAACAGGAAATTAAATGCAATGACATTTATTTGGGCTTGATTTTGGTAATTGCTTCTTATCTAAAATATTAAAGTATTACCTAATATTACTGTTTATAACTTTGCATAAATATAAACTAGTACACCCTTATACAAAGTAATACTGAACTAAAACAATAAGTAGAAGTATTGTTAATAATTAGAGCAGAATATTATAACCTACTTAACTGATTAATTGAATTGATATAAATATTGCATTGTTAACAAATAAATACAATTTTACTGTGTTAAATTTAATTCAACACCAATTAAGCAATATTTATATTCAATGATCCTCATCAATTGTATATATATATATGCATTCTGTATTTATAAAATAAACAACTTGATTAACCAATGGAACAACAGAATTCAAAAACTGGACTCTTCCATTTATCATTTATGATTTTTATTACCTGTTTATTCTATGAGGAGAGGTCAAAGTACCTCAGTCACTATAAACTTTCCAAACATCTGAAGTTTCAGGAAGGAAATAAACTGAAAAGCTTCATTATTTCTTCCATAATTTTTACAATATTTTCTAATTATCAATTTTAAATTACTAAAGAATTATAATTTTAAGCGTTAAAAGGTAATTTTATATCTTTTATGCACTGTTTATGAATAAAGTTTTAATTAATATAAATTTCTTTTTTTATCAATGATTGTAAATTCAACAAAAGAAGTTTCATTTCACATATCTGTAAATTTTTATAAATATAATAATTAATTATATTACATCTACTTGTAATCAATGAAGCACATAACCCAAGAGATTAATGTATCATTAAGTGCAAAAATATCCAACAATGTTCTGTATTGTTTTATTTTAAAGCTAATATATTTACAACACTGTCTAGAAGTATTTACTATTATCTAAATTAGATAAAATCACATTCTGAACAATTATATTACTTCAATTAATTGCCAGTAAAAACAAGCGATCCATTCTAAGCATGTATACAAAATAGCATTTCCTCTTTAACAAACTTTTACATACTTTTCTTGTATTTTTGTAAGCAATTTAATTATAATGTTATAACTTATACATTGGTATAATTATAACATTACATTACATCAATCATTACCAGAAAGGACAAGAAGTGATCCATTCTAAGCATGTATCCAAGCCATCCATTAGATACTGTTCATACAAGATTTTATCACATATTTAACAAATTTTTACATATATTTTATGTTTTATAAGCATTTTAGTCATTAAAATACAGCATTTTTAATCATTTTAGTTAATTTTTGCTGTTAAATGCAAGCTTTTTTGCACATGTCAATTAATGTATCCTTTGTTTCTACAAGCAGCAAATTATTTATTTTAAATTAAGAAAATATTTTATTCAATAAATGGAATGTATTGATGTGAAATAAGTCCTCCTCTTTTTTTCCTAGAATTTAAATTTTATTATATCTGTGCTTCTATATAATAAATAAACGTTAGATTTATGTTTTTATATTGTTTTATAATTTTCCAATTATATAATTGAGTAAACGATATTAATAATGATGGATACAAGATAAACAAATGTCAAAAACTAGTGAAGATCACATATCATTTCTTAAACATAAATTATATATATATAAATAAATGGTTAATAAATTTTAAAAAGTACTCACTTAGGTAAGGATTACATATGTAAACACAATCTGAACTCTCTTCGATGATTTCTATACGAAACTATCCATTTGTTTGATTCAGAAGGAGGATGGTCAATCCACCATCTTCCTCTCTGATAAACAGCTGGAGGAGACTGACGGTCTCTATGCGACAATATGAGACCTCTAGTGGACGATTTTTACGAGCGCCATTTTTGAATTTCTTTTCGTTTGGTCAGATATTGGACACGTCAATTTGACGTCACTTCCTCGTTTTTATAATGACCAAGTTTTAAAATGACGTCAAATTGACGAAATTTTATAAGCCGCATGAGCCCAATTTATATATTTTTAACTGTATTAAATGTTTTAATGTAATTTAATTAATAATTGTATACGAAATTCTGAAATATTTATAATATTATTTAATGAAATAATATACCTTACGTGATTTGTAAAAATCAGAAATTTTTTCATGGTTGAAGAATTCGGCATGAAAAAAGTCGACACAGCTGCTTACACGCTTATAACATTTCAAGTTCCGCCATTGATATTTAACAGAGATAAACAAATATGATTGTAAAATTAGATGTTTTACTTCTTGTGTTCTTTTTTTCTTGCTATTTTATTAACAATTATATACAATAGCATTATATAAAAGAATGTTATATTACTAAAAATTAGTGAACCATAAATACTTTTTTTTTACTCATCATAAAGAATTCATTTCTAAAATGTCAAAAAAGTTATTTTATTACAAATTTTTGCTTTTTTTTAAATTAATAAATTACAAAATATAATATTAAAAAATATAGTCAAACCCCATCAAAGAACAAACACAAAAAAACAGCAGACATTTCTATGAAATTTTATAATGTTGACAATTTGTTAATGTTTCCTTATAGAAATAATTAGACTGCTTAAGAATGGAATTTTAATTTTTTCAAAAGCATCAGTGCATAATTTTGACTTTGTTATAATTACACACAATTATAATCGTATATTTGAAGGCATTTTAAAAATATTTCCTGTTTTAAACCAACATTAATCAAAATTATGGTAAAGGAAATAAACATTTTGTAAATACTTCAAAAGCATGTGTCTATAACATAAATCTAATTATTGTTTAGGTACAATATTATAATAGGGAAGATTGCTCCAGATTTACAACCTTATAAAAAAAATTAGGTCAAGTTTAAAGTTATCAATAACAGGAAATTAAATGCAATGACATTTATTTGGGCTTGATTTTGGTAATTGCTTCTTATCTAAAATATTAAAGTATTACCTAATATTACTGTTTATAACTTTGCATAAATATAAACTAGTACACCCTTATACAAAGTAATACTGAACTAAAACAATAAGTAGAAGTATTGTTAATAATTAGAGCAGAATATTATAACCTACTTAACTGATTAATTGAATTGATATAAATATTGCATTGTTAACAAATAAATACAATTTTACTGTGTTAAATTTAATTCAACACCAATTAAGCAATATTTATATTCAATGATCCTCATCAATTGTATATAAATATATGCATTCTGTATTTATAAAATAAACAACTTGATTAACCAATGGAACAACAGAATTCAAAAACTGGACTCTTCCATTTATCATTTATGATTTTTATTACCTGTTTATTCTATGAGGAGAGGTCAAAGTACCTCAGTCACTATAAACTTTCCAAACATCTGAAGTTTCAGGAAGGAAATAAACTGAAAAGCTTCATTATTTCTTCCATAATTTTTACAATATTTTCTAATTATCAATTTTAAATTACTAAAGAATTATAATTTTAAGCGTTAAAAGGTAATTTTATATCTTTTATGCACTGTTTATGAATAAAGTTTTAATTAATATAAATTTCTTTTTTTATCAATGATTGTAAATTCAACAAAAGAAGTTTCATTTCACATATCTGTAAATTTTTATAAATATAATAATTAATTATATTACATCTACTTGTAATCAATGAAGCACATAACCCAAGAGATTAATGTATCATTAAGTGCAAAAATATCCAACAATGTTCTGTATTGTTTTATTTTAAAGCTAATATATTTACAACACTGTCTAGAAGTATTTACTATTATCTAAATTAGATAAAATCACATTCTGAACAATTATATTACTTCAATTAATTGCCAGTAAAAACAAGCGATCCATTCTAAGCATGTATACAAAATAGCATTTCCTCTTTAACAAACTTTTACATACTTTTCTTGTATTTTTGTAAGCAATTTAATTATAATGTTATAACTTATACATTGGTATAATTATAACATTACATTACATCAATCATTACCAGAAAGGACAAGAAGTGATCCATTCTAAGCATGTATCCAAGCCATCCATTAGATACTGTTCATACAAGATTTTATCACATATTTAACAAATTTTTACATATATTTTATGTTTTATAAGCATTTTAGTCATTAAAATACAGCATTTTTAATCATTTTAGTTAATTTTTGCTGTTAAATGCAAGCTTTTTTGCACATGTCAATTAATGTATCCTTTGTTTCTACAAGCAGCAAATTATTTATTTTAAATTAAGAAAATATTTTATTCAATAAATGGAATGTATTGATGTGAAATAAGTCCTCCTCTTTTTTTCCTAGAATTTAAATTTTATTATATCTGTGCTTCTATATAATAAATAAACGTTAGATTTATGTTTTTATATTGTTTTATAATTTTCCAATTATATAATTGAGTAAACGATATTAATAATGATGGATACAAGATAAACAAATGTCAAAAACTAGTGAAGATCACATATCATTTCTTAAACATAAATTATATATATATAAATAAATGGTTAATAAATTTTAAAAAGTACTCACTTAGGTAAGGATTACATATGTAAACACAATCTGAACTCTCTTCGATGATTTCTATACGAAACTATCCATTTGTTTGATTCAGAAGGAGGATGGTCAATCCACCATCTTCCTCTCTGATAAACAGCTGGAGGAGACTGACGGTCTCTATGCGACAATATGAGACCTCTAGTGGACGATTTTTACGAGCGCCATTTTTGAATTTCTTTTCGTTTGGTCAGATATTGGACACGTCAATTTGACGTCACTTCCTCGTTTTTATAATGACCAAGTTTTAAAATGACGTCAAATTGACGAAATTTTATAAGCCGCATGAGCCCAATTTATATATTTTTAACTGTATTAAATGTTTTAATGTAATTTAATTAATAATTGTATACGAAATTCTGAAATATTTATAATATTATTTAATGAAATAATATACCTTACGTGATTTGTAAAAATCAGAAATTTTTTCATGGTTGAAGAATTCGGCATGAAAAAAGTCGACACAGCTGCTTACACGCTTATAACATTTCAAGTTCCGCTATTGATATTTAACAGAGATAAACAAATATGATTGTAAAATTAGATGTTTTACTTCTTGTGTTCTTTTTTCTTGCTATTTTATTAACAATTATATACAATAGCATTATATACAATATATCGCGAATTAAACGTTAACTTTAACTAAAATTAAGTTTATTTAATAGATTTAAATTATAAAATTCTCGGAAAATTTATAAATTTAAATATTAAAATTTTAAAAATATTCTCAAAAATATAAAATATTATATATTATTCCATAAAATATTCCAATATAAAAAGTACTGTAATATAATACCGCTGTTCAAACAAATACATATGAAGCATTCGTGCGCTCTTTAAACGTCGAAAATTTATAAAGGATTTTTAAATATAAATTCAATTTAAGAATTGCACATGATTTAATTTTCATACAAATATAAGATTTTATATATGTCTATGTAGGCTTTTTGCATTAATTCTACAAGCACTGAAGATAAATTTGACATATATTGGCATTTAAAGATTTGGAGTAAGATGGCAGAAGTAATTTGTAATAATTTTAAAAAAAACTATGTTTTATTTAATTAAAATTCATATTTTGACAGATATTCAATACAAGAAAATAAAAATTAATATTTTGATATATTAATGTAAATGACGAATAGATAGTTCCAGCGGTTAAGGTGATAGCCTACCACCCGAGGGGAGCCAGGATAAAATGTGAGTGGGTCGGAAAAACACCAGAAATTTTTCAGGGATGATCTCTGATATGTCGAGCTCCTTTCCTTACCATTCAGCTGTCCCATTGTGGGCTTGCCAAATTCATAATGGTTTTAATAAAAACGCTATCTTAGTTCCCACAAAGGATTAAAAAATTTAATATATATGCGCTAATGTATCAAAACTGTAATTATATAAAATACATTTTTCTTCATTTTTGGCTCATCCTACCCTCTGGAAGCTAAGAAAGTCTTTTTTCTTACTTATCGCGGGTCTACATTGGAGACAGCCGAGTGGTGAGGAGCTGGTCTTGATATACAGTATTCGAGACAGATCGTTTATTAAAAAAAAAAAAATCTCTGCGGTTACTCGCCTGGATTTGATTCCAGACTATCATCCGGTCATCCGGAAATTTACAGTTAAATTTTTATATAGCATCTCTTAAATATCGTTATCTTAATTTAAATCGGCAATAGTTGCAAAACAGATTTTCCCCATAAAAGCGATCTGTTTAGTGTCTGCGAATTATTAATTAAATGCACAATTATGCGTTGCAATCAACATCACTATGTATAATTATTGCTGTTTGAGGAACTTCAGTTTAGTGCCACACTTGATTTAGTGTCAATTTCAATGATAATTACATATTTATGACATCATATTATGCTTTTTGAGGTATTTTTATATTGGTTTGGTTTTTTTTTATTCGTTATGGCAATGCAACAAATGGGCAATCTGCCGAGGAGGGAATGCCTACCCGGGAATTCTTTTAAGGAAATCTGGCCTTATTTAGGTTGTTACTGAGGTGAAGAAAACCCGGAAAACTCCATGTGGACGAGACGCGAACCCACGACCAGTGTAGTGTTCAATGGTTTTACCCACTCGGCATTGATTAGCGGCATTTTTTGATGTATTAGATTGATACTGTACAGTAGAGTCTCGGAAATTCGGCCTAATGTGGACCGAAGGGTGGCCGAGTTTGTGAAAATGCCGGGTTATCGGAAATGGGGTTAAAAAAAAATAAGTATGAGTGTTTCCTCAGAAAATACTGTACTGTACTTGTATGTATTGTTTACTTGAGAATACAACAGAGAATAAACTGCCCAAATACCCTTAAA